TAGGAGCCCTAAATCACAGTGTCATCCTGCCACAGTGCAGCGACGGAGAGCACAATGAGGCAAAAGCAATTTCCTGAAGACCAGAAAAACTCACATGGAGCCAACGGTTACGGATCCGGAGTGCCGGGACACTTTTTAAACACGGCTCACACTGCAAAGCCACACATAAGCACAGTGTTTCTTCAGTTTTTTTTTTTATTTTAACACCTGAGATGGCTGCATTCCAAATATAGTGTTAGAAACACAGAAGAGGAAATTGTTTTAGCTCCCAGGGGGGTGAAAAATTTTGAACAGGATGATCGGTGTAAATTGTTATTTTGTCTTCTGGGAAACATGTAACTCTCTTATGTAGCTTCTGAAGGGCAATACTAAATGAAAAAAAGATCTTTTAACAAAATAATGACAATTTACACCGATCATCCTGGTCAAAAGTTTACATCCCCCTGGCTCTTAATGTATCGTGTTGCCTTCTTGAGCATCAGTGAATGTCAGTGAGTGTTCGAGTCCCTCAGTTGTCCTGAGCGTGAAAAGATGGATCTCAGCATCATATAGCCACCGTTGGAAAGGGGTCAAACATGCAGAAGATGCTGGAAAAGCAGAGAATGTGCAGGACCTGGAGGATTTTTCTAAAGAACAGTGGGCAGTTTAACTGCTCAGGACAAACAAGGGCCTCATGGACAACTGTCACAAAACATAAAAACAGTCGTTGATCATCAGGTAACACACACAGTATTAAGAATAAAGCGTATGTAAACTTTTGAACTGGTTCATTTGTGTAAATTCAGTTATAAGTTTGTCTTGTGGACTATATGTAAACATCTTCTATGTGAAATAGCTTATTCAGTGCAGTACTAAATATAAACAAAATGCAAATTTTATGATCCCTCTTTTTTTTTTTTTTTTTTTTAATTATTAACATTTTGCAGATTCTGCAAGGCGTATGTAAACTTATGACCCCAATTGTATGTGACATTATCATCTCCTGAACTGTGATGTCGCATCCATACTCCTGATGTACAGAAGTCTATAAATCTGTAATGAATAAAAATAAAAATAAAAAAAATAAAACAATCGCACATGACCACATACACACAAAGATGCTGAGCTCATACACACTATCAGACATTTTGCAAGTCAGTATGAGCTCATGGGTCACATCTGTAAGTCGAGGATTTTCAGGAGTCGTGTGTGTAAAATCCTCACAGTCATTACATGAGTGAGCATTTCTACAAACAGCTTCGCCTCAAGAGACACAACCGATACGGATCGAGTAGATATGGGAGGCGTGTTAAGGCACTAGAGCAGAAGGAAAGCGTGAGCGTGTGTGTGTGTGTGTGTGTGTGTGTTTTGACCTTATCCGCATCTCACTTAGCAGCTTAAATAACACAAACATAAAACTGCTTGACGGCAGATAATTGAGCAATTTTTCCTGCTCCCTCCTTTCCAAGTGCTCCAAAATTGTGTGTGTATGTGTGTGTGTGTGTGTCTATGTGTGTGTGTGTGAGATGACATCCCAGAGGCCCCACACAGGAAAGCAGCTATAAAGATGAAACACGGCTGTTAATAAGCCAAGGGAAAGCATGACAGAAAGCCAGGAAGTTCACACAGCTGTCAGATAAAGATGAGCCGAGGGAAGAAGACTGTCTCGACGTACAGCTATTAAAATAAAAAACAGGACCGGCCACAGCAAATCCCCACCCCACAAAACGCTATAAACACGGCTGGGGACACGCCTGGGCTTCATTTCAGTGAGCTGTCCTTTTTAAAAGCTGCTGTCGCTGCTGTGATCACATGATCGGCGTGTGGAGCAGATGGAGAGCGGAGGTGTCTGTTCACCTCTCATGCTGCTTTTATTCAGGTTCAGAAAGCAGAAACGTTGTGATGATTCACGCTAACACGTGAACCGTACGTGACGACAGTGGTGATGATTAAACAGTTAAACAGAACTACTTTAATGTTTTTTCTTCTTGTGTTAAACCTTTATTTCATTTTAGGAAAGTTAAAAAGAAAATAAAAGTACCATTAAGGATGCACTGAAATACGCAGTGTTGTTTAGACAGGTGAGAACACAGACGTCACACACTGCGCCGAGAGCACCTGAGCGCGCTAGTGAGAAAGTGATTCGACTCTGAATCGACTTGATTGCAGGAAATTAATCAAACAACGTTTTGTTGATGAACTGAGCCAAAGGACAAAGCTGTAGTGCTGAAGAAATGCCACATTCTGGAAATTTGGATGAGCAAAAAAAAGAAGAGAAAATAAACACTGGATGCGATACGAAACGTTTTATACTAATAATTTATATAATTATCTAATTCTTTGTGCTGGCTCCGTGTTCTCTGTGCTGATTTCTACACGCACTTATATCAAACGAATAAAAAAGTTTTAGGATGTTTTCAAATAAAGGTTTTTTAATTATGTGCAGTGTGAAAGCAGAGATACCAATTTTATGATTCAGACTCAAACAGAATAAAAGGTGTGAACACACAAAAAAATAGATTTTTTTTTTTAACTCCAAAAGGCAGCCATATAAACAATGCTGATCTGTCAGGAAATTATCAACTACCTAGACGTTAAACTACACATAAATGTGCAGAGGCAGCTTATAGATAAACTTTATAAGACAGCATATAAGCTATATTATCAGTGTTTACTTATAAGGCATTAGTTATTGTTGCACAGTGTTGGTGTTTTATATTCAGATGGAGCTACTGAAATGACACGAGGTTACCATGACAACCCTGCTGTAAACAGTCTTGCACATGGAGGTGTGGCAATGTCAACGGTTATCATAAATCTTTTTACAAAATTATATTGCTATCATTATCTTTAGTAATAAGTGCTGCAGTTCAATGGCACAGATGTGAAATATAGTGAAGCAGCGTAAACACATCTGCTCACACACACTTCTGCTAGTACGCCTCTGCCTGCAGCAACACACACACACACACACACTCAGCAACTGCAAGGTGCAAAACACTCATGACTCATCCTACCAAGCTGTCACATTTCAAAATACAATGTGTGTGTGGGTAGGTTTTTATATCTTGGTAGGGATGAAACGTCCTCTCAAGGATATAAAAAAAAAACTGATAGTTTTGATCCCCCTCCCTCCAGCTTTTATTTAAAAAAAAAAAAAAAACAGCCAAAAGATTTCCTTTAGGTTATTAAGGTTAAGGTTAGAGTTTGATTTAGGTGCAGATTAGCATTAATTAGCTGCATTAATATTTATATCAATGGAAGATCATCACAAGGATAAAAAGACAAATTATTAGACAAAGAACTCAATATTTGAAAGTAAAATATTGTCAGAAGCTTTAAAGTGTAACTCGCTGGTTATGCTGCGTCATGCTGTCGTCTCGTCACCTCCCTTCCTGCGCAGATCAGTAAGAACATCGGCCTCAGACTGCAGGCAGGCGCTCTGTGTGTTGCACTGCTCTGGTCACTGGATGTACTCAGAGTGATTGTATGTACACACACACATACAAACACACACACTTTATTAGGAATACCTGTACCTGTACACCTGCTCATTCATGCAGTTATCTAATCAGCCAATCACACTGCAGCAGCACACTGCATATAATCCTGCAGAAACAGGTCAAGAGCTTCAGCACATGTTCACATCAAACTTCAAAATGAAAAAAGTGTGATCTCTGTGACTTTAACCGTGGCATGGGTGTTGATGCCAGATGGGCAGATTTGAGTATTTCAGAATCTGCTGATCTCCTGGGATTTTCACACAACGGTCTCTAGAGTTTACACAGAATGATGCGAGAAAAAAAAAAACATCCTGTGAGCGGAGGATCTTCAGACTGAAACACCTTGTTGATGAGAGAGATCAGAGGAGAATGACCAGACTGGTCTGAGCTGACAGGAAGTCTATAGTAACGCAATCACTCTCTACAGCCGTGGTGAGCAGAAAAGCATCTCAGCATGCACAAAACATCGAACCTTGAGGTGGATGAGCTACAACAGCAGAAGACCACATCAGGTTCCACTCCATCTTCAGCTGTCCAGTTTGGGTGAGTCTGTGCCCATGACAGCCTCAGATTCCTCTTCTTGGCTGACTATATATACTTACACATGTATGTTGACCATAAATGACCAAACAAATTCATGGCACAGCTGATTTACACGGCCACAAAACTCCATAAAAGAGCTGAAAATGACAAAATGGCGACTAAACAGTGAAAGAGCGTCTCCTAAATCTTCCACTAATCCAGCTCAGCCATTGCAGTGCATCAGCTACCAGAGACACACACTGAAGATTTTTTTTAAGATGCCATTACTTTTGTCCTAATGGAATTGCCATTATTAATTTATATGTCTTAAATTATGGGTTTGTTATTAGTCATTAATATGAAGCAACAAACGATTTTCAGAAAACGTTCATTATGTTTGTGTGTAATTGAAACAAATAAGTGATTTAAACTTGACAGTGTAATGCATATATAAAATATCAGCAACTCATTGACAATTATATGACTTCAATCGAGGTTCAATCCAAGCAATCGAGGTTCAGATTAGTATATGAACTTTTTCATGAACACCACAAGTTCTTGTGTAAACGTTCCTGTGAAGGATTTACAAATAAATCCATTTGCATCCATTTTGATAAATGAGGCTCAGTGTCTCTAACCTCACTGAGAGCAAAGAAAGACTCTTTACAGTGAATAAACCACAAAATGGACTGTTTATTACCACTACACTCATGATGTTCTCTCTCTCTCTCTCTCACACACACACACACACTAACACACACTTAACCACAGATTTCATCAGAAGTTCTTGTTCATCAGGCCACACTGTTAAAACGGCTAAAAAACGAGGAGAAACTACAGAAGAGAACGTTTACTGAGTAAAAAAAGAATCCAAAGGGGAAAACGCTACATTAGAAGCCTTGCCTTAAATAATTTTAATTTTCAATTATTGTTTACGGTGTACAATTTTTAGCTCACAATAAATAAATAAATAAATCACACAATTCTTTAATCGGGTCCCTGGAGGACTAGTGGTTAGGCTCTCACAGTGCTCTCACCGCTGTGGTCCGGGTTTGATTCCCAGCCAGGGAACCGACCCCAGACACTGGGGTTGCGTGCAACAGCGCGCTCTCAGCACCGGTCCCAAGCCCGGATAAAATTGGGTTGCATCAAGAAGAGCATCCGGCGTAAAAAACTGTGGCCAATGATCCGCGGTGGAGACCCCTAACAGGAGCAGCCGAAAGAGGAACAACAACAACACAATTCTTTGATTGTGAGTTCAGATCGGTGTTCTCAGAACACACAACGTGATGTACTCAAGTTACCGGCGGCCGATTTGGTGTCACTGTGACCAAAAACAGCCAACAACAAAAATTCTGGTGGTGTGAGAAATTTATGATTGAAATCTGTGTTAGCGCTGCCATGACGCTTATCTAAAATCCACCAATAAGAGGACAGCAAACTCATGAGACAGCTACAAATATGCTAGCGGTGATGGTGAAGCATTACCGAAACATGCTCATGGAAAGAGAAAAATCCTCATGACCTCAAATTCACTGAAAAATGTTGATGTTTATGCGAGACCGATTTCTGCACGAGCTGATTTCCGGATTGTGCTGGTTGATGGCGTAAACTATGCAGAACGTAGTAACTTTTCTTTAACACAGATCTATCCTTAGAGGATCTTCCTCATATAATCTAACATGGAGAACACGTTATCACACAGTCTGTTTTAAAATTCAGACAAGATTTTACTGAGATCTCGTCTACAGTGCGGTAAGTAATAATCCGCTGTAGCCAGGTTAGGACAATAGATTTAGAACGAGGGCACATTAGGAAACGTTAAAACGTCAGATCTTTCCACAGGACATCGAGACAAAGCATGGTTCGGGGAAATAACAGGTAATCCCAGCCCTTCATCAGGAGCAGGAAATACATCAAGGCCACATTCTGTTCTTTCAGCAGCTCGCTGCTGGACCGCCGGCGTGTGGAAATGAATATAAAGCTGATTAAAGATATAAAGATGTTCCTCTGATGCCTCATGAAGAAGCTTCTCTAATTTCTACACCATGTGGGCTGTTAATGCTGACGTTAGCTTCACACTTCTAATGTTATTGCTCATCACTTCAACCAAGATGACGCCAATCAAATTCTGTGGCAGTGTGCAACATCGGTCATGCCCACAATTCTCCTACGTAATGCTACAACGTAATAAAGTGACGATATTTGGGGAGTTACTGTTACCGTCCTGAGGTGATTATTTTCCATTAACAGAACACAATGTTTTATTCCTCTTATACCACAGCAATTTGGCTACAATTAATGCTTTTTTTATTTATTAAATAACATCACTTTTATCCATTAATAGTTACATTAATGCTGTGCAACGTCTGCAAAACAAGTTCATTTCTGTTCTCGCTTATGTTACAGCAGCTATAAACTTTTATTAACTTTAACGACTCCTGTGAAAACAGTGTAAGATATCACTGTAAATTTCTCTGCCGTGATTAAGGCAAAACAAATCTATGATGGTCCTAACAGTGTGTTTGCTTACTAACTATTACATTCTCATCGCTGTCATATTTTAAATGCTGTCAAATTCACTCCTATTTCAGCATTCCACATGGTCTGTGTTTCGAATGCAGTACTGAGAGTGCATTTTACAGAATAATGAAAGCCACGACATCAAAGCCATCAAACACAAAAGAACCGTGTGCATCATGAAACTCATGAAAGCGCGTATGCAAACTCGCCCGCTGCTTTTTGACTCCGAGGAAAAGCTTTGAACTTTCTGCATTTCCATCTCAATGCTAGTGTTTGTACAACCATCCTGCAGAACAATGCCAAAAATCTGCCATTATACCACGCGTTGAATATGCATAACCTCCATAAACAATGCCGATTAGCCTTTTCTTCATGTGCAGCCATGAGTCATGGGCTCTCTGACTTTCTAAACTGTTAGAGCTGCCAAATTCTGCCATAGGGTGTAGAAAAAAAATTCAGCCAGCTCTGGTCGTGTATTGCACAAGACTCTTTGTTTGTGACCCTTAACCCATTAGATAACATTCCAGCCTGATTGGTTAGAGGGAAAGGGAAGAGCAGGACACTGCAAGCTGGGATTTAAATAGAGCTAAATTTCATGCGAAGTCAGTATACAAAGTTACTGCTGAAGAGACAACAGAAATTCCAACTTCCAGGAGGCTATAGCTGAGATTTTATATCAATAAACATGCTGTTACAGGAAAATAATCACTGACAGGATGGTGTGATGAAGCCAAGTTACTGTTACCATGCTGAAGTTTTGAGTGTGTGTGTGTGTGTGTGTGTGTGTGTGTGTGTAACATGAGCTCTTGAGTAGAGGAGACTAAAGAATTCAGCCTATAATCATGACTGAGGATCCGAGCACAAAACTGAGCCAGTAAACACATGACTGTGCGCCATCAGTATATATTCCACTGCCAAATTATTTACTGAAAACCAGGAAATAATAAAATATGCTGAAGCTGATAAGTGAAATGCACTATATAGCCAAAAGTATCTGGACACCTGACCTTCACACCTATATGTGGTTCCTTCCCCAAACTGTTACCACAAAGCTGGAAGCACACAATTGTCTAGAACGTCTTTGTGTTGCTGTAGCATTACAATTAAACGTTGCCTAGGTGTGTGCATTGTACGTCCGATGAAAATGTCATTTGCTATGGATGTGGATTAACGTTAGCCCTGATTTTCACCCCTATAAGATCACTGGGTCTAAACCGGCCACGCCATTGTAAAAGCTCTGGATTCGCCACTTCCTTCTATATCCTCTATTCTAGCTGGTTATGAATCAAATTACAAATTCTTAAAGTGCTTAATAAATCACTGTGCCTTCAGCTGTGGAGAAGAACATCTGCCCAATGTCTGGATGTTAAAAATCACAGCACAAAAAAAAAAAAAACATGGGAAAGGATTTAAAAATAATAATCTACCAAAGTGAAATGTAAATGATAAATCATAAATAGTTTTGTCTTTATCCTGATGGAACAGATTCCTGATAGAAAACAGACATGCATTCAATTACATCTCAGACAAAACTGTACCAAACTGTGCCTTTCCTTATCACTGGTGTGGATTTTGTACCTTTAACATGCATCTTTAAAAATAATTTAAGTTACATAACCCACAGCCCCCACCTTTTTCTGGACATTGTCAAAAATCAAAAGCTATCTGGTTTAAAGACAAGCACGTGTCTTTACATTTTGATGAAAGATTACAGAAAAACGCAAAATTTTGATATCCAGAAAATGATCGTGATCAAGAATTGTGCACAATTTGTCCGTAATCTTACAATTTTTTTTAATTTTCTCAAAGTTACAACACAAAATCTCTCAGCCAGCCTGTAATCTAATGTTCTCGATTTCTGATAAGCCAGAAAAGAGATAAGAGATGAAAAGCTTTCTACAAATAACACAGCGGACACTGAAGCGACCGACTACATGGAATTATTACTCACAGAAACACGTTTCTCCAGTTTGTTCTCTGATAACGCATTATTATTCATAATGGCATAATTATTACAGACTTTATCACATCAATCAAAAAAATATCTCATATATAAATAAACTACATGGCACATGATTTGCATATGAGCTGCACATTCATTAAAACCAGCCAAAATTATATATATATATATATATATATATATATATATATATATATATATATATATAAACACATACATACATACATACACACATACATTCACCTGAGCACTTGCTTCACACATCATAAACACAATTAAACAGAAAAGCAGGCTTGTGTTTGATTCTAATCAGCTTGGAGACAAAAGTCAAAAATCCACAACTTGCCTTGTTTTTGTAGCACTCCAGCCCCTGACTCCTCCCTGATCTTCAATCGAAACTCCACCAAAACAAACGGAATTATTTTTAATGCACCCAATATAATGTTCAGGTCAAAAGTCGATTAATCGACTACAAATGGCAAGTAATCACAGCTCACCTGCGTTTAGGTGAAATATTAAACATTCAAATTGTGCTTAAACTACACAGAAAACAAAATCACACTTCCACTGGTGCACCCTGATGACACACCACCACTCAAACACACACACACACACACACACACGCCCCGGTTCTTCGATTAATCGTCGCCTGGTTAGAGATCGGATTAAACTTTGTCCTGTGCAACACATTTTACAACTAAACAATCAAACAAACAAACAAAGCGCGTGACTCACCTCTAAGTTACTTCCTCGGTGCAGACAGATGAAGGTTACAGTCCCGACACTGAATACAGGTTTAAACCCGGCCTACAGTTTACTAGTTTCAATTATTATTATTGTTATTGTTATTGTTATTGTTATATGTAATAATACAAGCGCTCGTGCGTCCAACAAAACATACCCCTATCAAGACTCGCGCGCGCGCGTTCACAGCTGCTGCTGATTAATGAACCTCCTCCTGGTGGAGACGGAGCGCGCGCCCACAAATGGGCGTGTCCGCCAGGTTAGCTCAGATTAACGTCATCACGAAGGTTACCGTAAATATCCAAATACACCGGGTAACACACAGACAGACAGACAGACACACACACACACACACACACACACACACACTGTGACTGAATGAATCATATCAGCTCAGAGATGCTCCTACAGAGTTCCCTTCATGCTCTTCCACAGGAATAAAACACTCTGTGCCGTGCTGTTATAGGAAAACAATCAACATCGAGGTGGTGTATGATGAAGCGGAGTCACTGTCACCACCCTGAAGTGTTTTATTCCTCTTATACCACAACAGTTTACTACTGATTACAAGAACGACAGTCTGTAGTTATGTTTAATGCTGTGGAAACGAGTTCTCACTTCTGTTATAGAAGCTATAAAGAGTCGTTCACTCACCAGCCTCTCTTTCTCTCTTAAAATTCATAAAACACAAAAAAATACATCGTCATGTTGCCGAGTAACCACAAAGAGACCTGAAGATGTCGAGAAAGTTACAGCTTTACCTCTGACTGTTACAAAGCACTGACACTGGAGACTCCTTCCATTAATGTTAAACAAACACGTCCTCACAGATCAACATTTTTTT